TAAGGAGTGACTGTCACTGGCAAACCTTGACACCCTCATCCCTGGGCAGCACCTGCTGTGTCTCCCTTTGTTTCTGGCTCCAAACCAGCGTCCTCTGGGTCATGTCACCTGCTCCAGGGCAGGGCTCAGGCAGACCCTCTAGCTTTTCTTTTTCCCTGTGATTCCAAGTAAGGAGAATACATGGGTAAATCAAAAGTCTCAGAAAACAACACAAATACAAGGAAGTTATAGTTGCATTTGTTCCTTCTAATGTCCTGAAGAAAACACCAATTGGTCTTTAATTCAGGACTAGTTTTAGTTGGCCACACTCGTGGGGCTGGTCCGTGCAAAGTTCATTGTAATGGGAAAATATTTCTTTTGCTTTCTATATGTAGTTTCTCTTTCTTTATGTTTTTCTTTGCTTTATTGGTTGGGGGTTTTTTGTTAGGTTGGGCTTTTTGTTTTGTTTTTGCTTGTCTGCTTTGGTTCTTTTTCTTTTGAGATACTCTCTTGTTCTACTTCCTTTGTAATATTACCTTCCTGTAGAAAGACTATTCAGTTTGATTGCTCATTTAATATTCTTGTATTTAATATTCTTGTATTGAATATTCTTGTATGGTTTTCCAGTAACGAAAATTAGATGATAGCTCCTTTAAGCCATTTTTTTTGTTTTTTAACTACACTGGAAATGCAAATACTTGCAGATGTAGCCATGCAAATTCAGTATGTAAATTAAAGTGTTTTGGGAAACTCACTGCACAGTACAGGCTTCCCCATGCCACAGAGAAACCTGAGAAGCTAATAGCTCCTGAACTACCCTCAGAAGTTCTGCAAACTATACACAGAATTCACAAGCAATTTCCCATTGCCATTTGAGATTTTATGATGATGTGGTCCTATGTAGGACTTGTCAGCTGGAAGATTGGAGTTTTTCAGTCTGGATGTTTCTGCTACTAAATAAGTGATGGAAGCCTCCATCCAGTTCTTGTTCCATTTTATCAGGAAGACATGGTGCAGGGGATCCAGTGGCTCAATTTAAACAAGAGGATTTTTTACAGCTTTAGCAGTTTTAGCAGAACACATCCCTCTTTCTTTAGTGCAGTGACATCACTATTCTCCTGTTGACACTTCCTTGAGACAATTGTTTGTAGTTGTTGATGAGACTGAGTCATCACTGAGCAAAGGAATGAAGAATGCTCCTAAACAAGGGACATAAGACCTAGATGAGGACAGTGATTATAGATACTATTTCATATATATCAGTTGTTTAAAGTCATCTTACCTTTTCCAGAATAATCTCCCTACAGGCATCTTTGTAGATTTAAGTAGTTTTTATGGTTTTATTCTTTATTGTACATGCTTAATGACAAGTAGTATTAAATTTTTTTATTCATATTTAATTGATGGAGAGTTAAAATCTGAGTCTTACAGTTAGGTATGGTCTAAAAGAACATTCTTTGTTTCAAATGGATGACCACAATTATAATTGCCCTGTCCTGAACTTGCATTTGTTTCTTTACTTTCTCTAAATAAGATAGAAGTTTCAGATGTTTGCTCTACTGATGAATTAGATTAGAGATGAATCTCATTCTTGGCTGCTGTAAACTGAATAGGGAACATGCAAGAGGCTTGTTGAACTGATTATCAATATTTCCTCTTTGCAATTAAACAGTATATGTTATTAGTGGCCTTTTAGGCAATTAGAAACCTGCTTCATAAACCTCTCAAAAGAGTAGATGTGAATTATATGATGACTTCATAAATCTGAGGATCAATAAGAGAAATAAATCTGAATCTTAATTACTAATTCGTTAATTAAATGAAAGATTACAGATTAATTTAACTGTTGAGATTGGGATTATATGCTTGTACCGTATAAAGGGTATAACATTCAGAGATTCACAGTCTTTTGCTATCTTCTGTTCTAAATTATGAATTCAGAAGTCAGAAATTGAGAAATCTCTTCCTACAATGTTATTATTAAAGGCTCAAAAGTATGGACATCTAAGAAAATATTTCAGCTGCTTACGATAATGCTTGCAACTATGGAAGGATGTCTGAAACATATCCTTATATGTCAAAAATATTTTCACTGTGTCTTTGTCATTCTTGGCTCTCTAGAGGAGAAAACACTTTCTTATTCCTCAGCACAATTTAATTTTTTTTCAGTATCAGGAATGCTTGTGAAGCATAGTAAGTGTAACAGACTTGAAAAGTTAAACTTTGTAGAGGGTGCAAGACGTATCTATGCTGATGATGGAGAGATTGTGTACAGTCTCCCCCTGCATGGTTTTTTGAGAACCATCAAGTACTATTAAAAGGACTTTTCCTCCATTTTGAAATTGCACGGAAAACCCCAAATTTAACTAAAAAAATAACAGTCACAGAAAGAAAAAAAAATATTATTTGTAAGAGAAGACTGGAGTGAAACACAGCAGGAACATAGATGTGGCCTGGAAAGGGAGAGTTAGCTGCCACCCTTCAGATCTCCATCTGTGCCACATAATACAGTTTGCACTGTGAATTTGCTTAGTTTCTGAACACTGCTGCTCCCCAGACTCTTTTTCAGTGCATGCTTAATAGTGCTACAGTAAACAAAGCATGGTTTCTGTCCTTTGAGCGAACATGTTTGGGATTCATAAAGAAATTATCATTATGCCTTTTTTGCCCTCCTTCTGCCGGTTGCTTAAAGCTTTCTCAGGATTGTCTAGTGGATCAAGCTCCATGCCCAGTGCAGAGCAGGTGTTTCAGTCTTTCAGCAGTGGGAGGGACATCTGCCTCCTAAATATGTACACTTGGCTTGTCTGCAGGGAGGAGATCCAGCCTTGATACTGTGATCTGGCCAAGGCCATTTTCACAGGAAGGCGCAGCATCAGCAGACTGTGGAATGAGCTGAGAGGTAAAATCTAGTTTCCTTTAATGAGATACATAGTCAGAAAACTCTAGAGACTTTTCTAGGAAAGGTCTAATGTTGGGTTTCCAATGAAACAGATGTCTAATAATTTTGCCCTGTAACTACCACAGGTTTTGGGGCTTGTATTAGTGGTTATTAGGTAATAGAGACATGCTCTTATAAAGTGTCTAAAGCCTCTGGGATAGCCCACTGACAGTGTAAGGGGATGAGCCTCAGTCTGGGGAATCTACCTTCTTAACCATGGTGTTTCCTACATAGATTCCCCTTCAAGCTTAGACCCCTTTTTGTGTAGGCTTTAGAAGGCCCAACTAGTTATATCAGTCTCTTTGTCATATACAGGTAGGAAGTGCCAACCTTCGAAACAGGATTTGGGTTATGAATTCCCAGAGCTGCCTAAGATCTCCTGTCCCTTCTTTTTCAGGGGAATTTCTCTGTTGATTAGGCAGTCAGCTCCCTGTAGAGCTCTGTGCTTTGTGTATCCTCTCTGAGACACTGATTTGGGCTTTGGAGGACAGGAGGGCTGTGAATGCTGTATTAAAGACAGAGGGCTGAAAGTCAGGTGCTGCAAAAAGTTCTGATCTTGAGTTTCGTCATATTGGAGATGAGCTCAGGGAGTTCATTAACACAGTGAAAAGTCTGGGTGAGAATATTTACCCTTGGCTAAAGCAAATTCTCAGCTTTTGACTGAAGCATTTAGACATAGATGTGGTGCAAGTGGTTGTGTCCACCCAGTTGACTCAGGTGAGCAGTTTGAGCCCTCTGAGCTCTTCTGACAGCCAGACTAAAAACCTCTACTCCAGACATCAGAGTGAAGGGAAGAGGAATATCCCTATCCTTTTCCTGTGGAAATCGTTTCCAGCCATGGGCATTGGTGAATTACCCAACCCGCATGGCTAGTCAGCTTCTCATTTTTGAAAATTGATTTTATTCATGTAATTGTTATTCATTACCAACTGGAATGAAATAACATAAAAATTTCCTCAAACCAGTAATTTGAAGGGTCAGCTGCTGGGTAAATGCATCCAAGGGTGCATGCTTTGATTTTTAACATCATATCACATAAACTTTATTTTGGAGTGGGGTGTAAGTCCTGAAATCTCAGAGCAGGGTTTACAGGAGGGATGTATACCTGCATCTCCAAATTACATATTTCATCCTTATGGTTTACCCTTTTCAAGATTTACTGATTTGTACTGTGCAGAAAAAGGCTTGATGACAAGGTCCATGAATATGCTTCTCTTGGGAAGATATATTCACCAGCTCCCTGTGTTTATAAGAATTACCATAAAATAGTAATGTATCCTCCAGACTAGAAAAGCCTTTTAAGTTGCGTTATTTTTTCCCATTGAGAGCCTTATACTATTATTCAGTACATTATTAACGCAGCATGCTCACAGTTTAATGGATAAAGATAATATTCTCATTGTATTTATTTTAATATCTTTTTAAAAAAATACTTCATTTTTCATTATGCTTTAACTTCCTTGTTGTGCTTTGTTCACACTTCCGGTGTGATGAAATTATTCAGATTACTTATCAGTGCACTTCTGGTGCGTGGTGAGAAATTATACAACAAGAGAAATTCTCTATCTTAACAGATAAGATGGGGAGAATCAAAAAGGATGACATTCATCCAGGTGGAATAACATAGATTCCAGGAGAATAGGTTCCTAGTATATTCCAAAGCCTTGTCTCAGGTGAAATTTAGTGGCAGAATAACATGATGGTAACGAAATGCCATTTTTTGAAAACAGGTTTGAGAAAAAGGCAAAAACAGAACAAAATTCTCCTTAGAGATTTTTTCAAATTCCAAAGCTTTAATGTCATAAGGAATATTTTCTTATAAAATGAAATCTGGTCAACAATTTAAAAATTTGATGTTTTAGTGAAAGCAATTTGATGAATCCAAAGCACATTTTTGAGGTGAAGGGTTTGATCATACAATTTTGGTGGATTTCACCATTGCATTCCAGTTTGGGATAGGAAAAATATTTGAAAAGGGAAAAAATGTTCTGGCATAGTTAAGTTTTTTCTCTTCAAGTCAGCTGACCTGCCATGATTTGTTAGCCTCATTGCTGTCTCTGAGCTACCCTTTATTTCTATAGGAGATAGAAGAGCCAAATCTTAAAGACTGTTTTAAGAAAACTCTTTTGAAATATCTTTGAAAAAATTAAGATGCTGAAAAAAGGTATGTGATTCTATCTAATTTTATAAACCTCAGCATTTTAAAATGTATTTGAATGTATTGAAAAAACCTTTATGCTTTCAGAGAAACTGAAATTCTAATGTTAAGCAAACTGGTATTTTAGTTGCAAGTCAGTGCAAAATATGGTCTATTTGCTTTGTATGATAATGTCTTCTCAGAGCTTTTGGCTGCTTTGTTTTTTTGTTGTTTTGCTATTGAATCTTAGATGTATTCTGCAATTTTTTTATGTCCTTAAACATGTGAAAATCTGAGAGCTTTGTCTATTTTTTTCTCTTATCTTGCACAATATTATTTGTTTTTACTCTTTAAACTTCTAAGAAACCTGAGATTTTTTGCAAGTGTCATGGCTTGATCTGTTACATAGCTCTTCTCCTTAACTGTTTGAGCTCTTTAGTGAAAGAAAAGAGACAAGCAGCAAAGCTGTAGATACTTTGAACACAATTGTTTGTTCTTCATTCTTCTACTGTCAGATTCTGCTCTCTTCTGGTGATGCAAATCATAAATTTATGGACAGACAAATACCTCAATTTTATGTAAAAAGCAGGATGCTTATAGAGCCATTGAGGATACATTCAGTGAGAAAGAAAAAAGTGCTTCTGCTGCTAATTTAGGATCACATTAGGTCTTATTCTTATCTGGGCAGCCAGAAAGCTTTTGAGCATTGCTGGCACAGCGACAAAGCCTGGTTCCGTTGGTGTTGGATACTGCCCTGTGGACGTTGCTCAGGCAGAAGTGGATGGCAGGGCATAAAACAAAGGCAGAGTAAATATTTGTTCTTTTCTCTCTTTGGCAGCCTAACTGGGGGGACAAAGGGGAGAGATTTGGCTCCAACCACGTTTGAGCTTCTTTAGGATTTCTGTCTGGAGGAAGAGGCTGTAAAAGGGAAAAATGTTTTCTGTTTAGCAACATGCTGTCTGGAGATATCTGGGGAAAAGCTTCAGCAGCTGCTGCCTCCCCTTGCATCCTAGAGCCAGAGTGTTCAGCCTGGGGCAGAGCTGAGGCACAGGGACTGACTGCATGGCTCTCACACTCTGAAGGGCACTCCATCCTCCATAGCCTTTTGTCTGAAGTCAGGTTGGAGTCTTTCAGTTAATTTATTTTCTTTGTAACTATTCAAATGCTCCCTGCATCAAAGAAGGGAGTGCAGGTGCTGTGTCCTACCTGCACTCCCCACCAGGCCAGGAGGGGAGCATTGCTGGGTTGGTGAAGAGGACACTATCTAGCACAGAGTAGGTCTTGTTCTGGAAGACACTGAGTGCACCCATTTCTCTTTGTGTAGACCCATCTCTCTTCAGTGATGTGAGGTGTGGTTTCCAGGTCCCCAAATGCAGACATTCAGTCTGTAAACACTGAAGAAGTGGTGTGACTACTTGGCTATTGGGACAATCTTTGGATCCATCTGAGAAAGCCAAAGCTGCTGATGCATTTGACCTGCTCTGCTATGGGAGCAATATCAGAACTGCTCTTTAACTTATCTGCTAAAATGAAAGACTCAGTTTTGTCTCATGCCTTTTGTTCTTTGTTGCCTTTAGCAGTGGGGTTGCTTTTGGGCAATGAGCACCAAACAATGCAACAAAATTCCCTGTGCAGCTTGTGCTGACAGAAAACATTGCCTTTATAAAATGCCATGTGATAAGGCAGAGAGTTGCAAGCTATGTAAGAATGGCAGCTCCAGAGGAGGAGTGAAATTTGGTTTAACTTCTAATATGTTTTGGTGGTGTTTTTTGTAGAACATACCTCGCTTCCCTCCCAGACCATGGGTAAAAGTTCAAATGAGTTCTGAACAGGGATGACAGCCGCTGTTTTCCTCCTCTTTATCTCCAAGCAGTCCAGAGTGGATGAGTAATGATTTTGTTCCAAGAAGGTACTGTGCATATCATCTCTCATATATTCTGTTCTTTTGTTTCTGCATCATACAGGCAGAGCAAGGAGCAGTGAAAGTGGGAGGACAAATTAAATGAATAGTTTGGAGATGCTAGTCCTCACATCTGAAGGATATACTTTTGGGAAGTTCACATTTTAAGGAAAAAAATATCACATTTGCTGCACCAAACTTAAATGTTGGGGTTAGGAAAAGATGGCAAACTTCCCTGTTCATTCCTGTGGTTAGCTTCTTTCCTAGGGGTAGAGGTACGTGTGACAAGGCACACAAAACTGTTGCAACACAGCAAAATCATCATCTAATCCAGTGATTTCAGAGCATGTGTTAACCCTTGGTAGCCTGGACACAGTCCCAGACCTGCTAAAACATTTTTGTTGAAAGCAGTAGGAGCTAATAGGTGTCATTAAAATGCTGCATAATGGGTGTCCTGCTTCCCTATAGTTACTGCATCAGTCAATATTACTCACTATGGAGACACAGCAGTGTCCTAGTTTCAGCCAGGACAGGATTAATATTTTATGGTAGCTGGGAAGTGGGCATGGCCAGGTCCTAATACTATTTGATACCATCTCATGTCCCTTGTGAGGGGCAGGAGTAGGAGGCTCTCTCATTGAGGAGCACAAAACGCTCCAGTGTTGTTTTACTTTCCATGTAAATGCTTTCTTTGTCTTATACCTTTTGTTATTGATACTGTTGCTGTTACTGTTTGTTTTCTTATCTAATTGCTGTTTCCACTTCTGCTCTCAGCCTGTGGTTTTCGCTTTGTGCCTCCAGTTCTCAAGTTCATCCCAGGAGCAGCAAGAGGGAGGGGAAGCAGGAGAGAGAGTGAGCAGCACCTGGTTTGGGGGAGTTTCGGTGAGGGAACTGAATTGGGGAGCACTATTCCTAAACCACAAGCAGTAAAAACAAGAAACATTCATTTTCATTAAAATGTAAACTTTCCAAAAGTGTGTCTGTTTTCAAACACCAAAATGTTTGGCTATATTGCAAGAACTCCTCAGTTTATTATGAAATGAAAATTGTCTATTAATATAAAAGGCTACTCACTCCTGTATGTTTACCAAACCTTTGCCATAGGCAGTGAAAGTCAGTAGAAAAAACCTAAACTGACACACAGAAAAGAAAGAAAACCCTGACAAATGCCAAAATATGCCAGGCTATATGTGTGTAAACACAATAGGTTATTTCGTTTGCATCAGAGAATAAACATTAGAATAGGGCTTGATTTGTTTTCTCAGCCTTTGTCTGCAACTAAGTATTAGTATCTACTAAGGCTCAGTATCTACTATGGCAACAGAAATCTGTGCTTGTGCTGGATAATTTCCATCAAAACTCCTGCATTGCCTCCATGGGTTGAAGCCCAGTGTGTGAAAAGGCCACTGGCTATTTGTGGCCTTGTCATGTCTTGTTCTGCTCAGAGCAAATCTGGATGTGTGTGATGCAGTATTTTAAACCCTGACAGCTGCTGTCATTTTGTGAGAGCTCCTGCAGGAAACTAGAGTTTCTGCAGGAAATGATAGAGCTCTCTAGAGAAAGGTTTACTTCTTGTAATTTTTTCCAAAATAACTTTCAAAAACATTTTTGCACAGAAAAAGGATTACATTTTGATCATATTTAGTTTCATTTAATCCAGTGATGTGAACAATCCCCATAATCCAAAAAATCTATTAATGAAATGACAGCTACATGAGCAAGTTGGACATGAGCCTAACCTGCTCCTTTCTCTTTATCATCCTGCCTGGCTGCAGCCCCACAAATATGAACTTTCTGGAAGCTTCTCTGCATACTGCAATCTAATCTTTTTTTGAGGCTTTCAGAAACTTGATTCAAATCTAAACAAGAAGAATTTCCTTCCATTTTAACACCAGAACTCTCTCCCACTGTGGTTCCCTGCGATTCCCTATATTTTGTTTTTTGGCAAGTGGACAAAACGGTTTCAGTGTATTAGTACTTTCATCCATGTAAATACTGGAGTAGTTCTAGCATATACATATAAATATACATATATATATATATATATATGCATATGCATATACACTGTCATGAAAAGGATAAATGGTCCTTGTGACTTTCTTAAATTTGGAAAATGACAGTTTCAAGCAAGTTAATATCTTTGTTGAAGGCTTTATTTAGGGGGAAAAAAAGGAATGAGAAACAGATTTTAAACTTTGCCTCTAACTTGGATTAAGGCACTACTCCTTAATTAGGTTTGTTATTCAGAATCTTTGTTTTTGAGAGCTGCTGCAACTAGTAAAAGTGAATTTAACTTGGTTTTTAATTTTAAGAAAGAATGGAGGTGATTTCCTCCATTATGTTTCCAGCCTCTTATATTTGCTATCTTTTAGTTTAATCTCACCCTAGAAACCAAAGGCACTGGCCATAGTCCATCCCTGCAGGAGACAGACCAGATTCAGCCTGGTTTCATCTGGGGACACTCTCCCTCCTCGCCTCTTGTTTCCCTTCCCCACACCCTGAGTCATCAATGGGGGTGTTTGACCAAGAGATTCTTTTGACCTAATTTAGGCTGCAAAACATATTCAGTGGATGCCTGCACCACATTAAACAGCTTTTAAGCTAGGCAAAGGTTGGGTGCCATCACTCCTGTTTAAGCCATTGAGAAGCCATGGAATATGGCAGAGTGAGATGAAAGGCTATTCTTAATGGCAACAAGAAGAGGAAAAATGTGTTAATGTGGGTGTAGCTGAGATTCTGGGGATCCATTTTTAAAAAATAAATGTAATTCTGTTGTTGATTTTGTTTTCTTATTTTTTGTTTCTTTTACTTTAGGAACTGTGAGGAGATGGAAGAGGCAAATGATCCAGAAATAGTAACTTTATGGCAGTTCTTGTCTGTGGGATAATTTGTTGAGAATTATCACTGACAGGATGTTTTTCTAAGGATACCAGTAGTAGCAGGTATACTCATGCCCATAAGCTGCAAATTGTACCTCTGGAGGTGTGCAAGCATAACAAAAAGGAAATACTTTTGATAAGAATAACAGATTGTTATTACTTCACAGAAAGTAAAGAGCAACTGTAATCTGAAAAGTCTTAAATCAGGAACTGTGACTGAAAATAGAAGACACAGCAGCAACATGTTCTGGCAGCTGGATAAAGGACTAGATAGGTCATACAACATGTGTTGCAAAGTTACAAACTTCAGTAAAGATCATACCACCATGTCTTTTCTATTGCTGGTAAACCCAAGTAACCTAAATTTTGCTGTGCAGAAAATATAAAGCAATTGAAAGACTAGGATTTGTGAAGATCTTGAAATGTTATACAGCCTGTTGGTCCTTTCTTCTCAGCAGGGTCAATGACTACAACATTGTTCTTGGCAGATATGGACTGGTTCTGAAGACAGCTCTAGAAAAAGGGCAGTGACCCACATTAGTTGATCTACTTCAGCTCCCACCTGTCCCTTTTTGTTTAATGCTTAAGACAAGTCTGCTTTTGCAATTTTAGACCATTACATCTTCTTCTAGGCAATATGAATAGGGAGAAAAAATTGCTTTGTTCTTTGGAACAGCCTTTTATGTACATTATGTTTTTTTTGAGATATTCATATATTTGAAGCCAGTTAAATTTTTATTGCTCTTATAAATAACTCCAGCTCTCTCACTCATTCCTTCTTTTCTAGACTTTGATTTCTATTGTTGCGCAGCTCTGGACTTTTCCCTGTTTATTTGCATTTTTATTGGAAGTGCTGCCCAAAATTTGTCCCTTTTCTGGTCTTGTCTTACTAACAAGTAAATGGTCTTGCCTCGCTTGAGTAAATCAAAATAATTATTTAAACTCTCTCAGAGTCAAAAACATTCAGTGTAAAACTGAAAGGGAAGGATTTAAGGATGCATTCAGTGGAACATAAACCTTCAATTAATTTGCTGTATTTACTTTCTTCCTAAGAATAGAACCTAATTAAATGTATCCTTTTCCCCATTGTGCTAAGTAAGGCATTTCTCTGCAAGTATTAGTAAATTCTATAACTTATTTTGTTGTAAATTGGTTTTGAGAAAATGGAAATAACTTTTTATCCAAAAATACTCTAAACAATTTATCTTGCTCAGCATAATAAAGCAAGTTGTAATTGTGGCTGCCGTTCTCAGAAAAGGTTAACAGTGGACTAACAGATGAGAAAATTATGTGCTGCCTTCAGACAAGGTATATTTATGTATTTCCTCTGAAACACATAAGAGCCTTTATAGCTCCTATACAAAATACTATGGTGAAAATTTGAAACTTGCTGGAGTCTTGAATTCTTTTTCGTCATATTGAACATCCTATAAAATTACTGATATGATTTTTTTACTGTCACAGATTAAGTACAAATCAAAAGAAAGAAAGAAAAGATAACTGTTATTTTCATGGAAGACCAACTACTGCTGAATTTCCACACTTCCCTGATTTAAAAAAATCAAAAAAAGAGTTCCAAAAAACTACTGTGAAGATCCAGAAATTTATATAAATACATGGCATGGTGACTTAGCAACCAATAATAAGGTGTCAAACTTCTTTGATTCTATCAAAAATAAAGTAGAAGACCAGTATGAACTTTTACTGAGCACTGAGTAGGCGGTAACACCAAGGTTTCCATTTAATTCACTGGGTTTTCTGTAACAGAATTGCTTTGACTCCTCTCTGACACCTGTGGGAGTAGGTAATTATTCTGTTAAAAAAATGAAAATATCATATTAATCAAGATTCAGGTGCTGCTCAAGGCCCAAATCAATACCTACTTAGTGAGGTGATATATAAATAAAACCAGTACATGCATATAAAACTCCACTCTTTAGGGACATATTAACCTGAAAAGTTTTTACTTACCAATACATAGTGCAGTAAACAGCATAAAATGGTGAAATGATCTTTGAAGGAGATGACAGCATTCTTAGGTGACTTTTATGCATGTTCTTCCCACAACTAGCTCTTTGTTTGAACTAGAAATTAATGGAGTCTGAGGAGTATGATAGCTTCAGTCTCAGAGCAGGAGATCCCTTCTCTGGGGAGGATTTGTTTTGAGGAAATTGCTTCACAGGTCTGTCCTTTGGCATGCCCTCAAAAATAACAAAAGTAAGCATGGGAAGAGGGTTGGCAAACTCTGGAAAAATGCAGCCATGGCTGAGGGATCACTTCAAATGGCTTCGCTACTGAAAGAAAATGTGTTGAGGAGCTGCATCCTGCCGTAAACAGTCCTTAGGAAGGAGGACAGAGGCAACTGTGCTTTCTCAGAGAGTAGGTTCAAATTTTCTCAGAGAGTAATGCCAATCTCAGGGAATTACAGCATATGGAAACAGAACCAGTAGTAATCATGTGTAGCCCAGAATCCATTTTGCTCTTTGTGATTTTACATTGTGTGCAGGAGTTAATGTAGGTGGCTTTGAGAGTGTTTGAAATCTCTAGCAAGTTCAGCTGAGAGACTTGGTCCAGCTAATGCTTCTTAGTTTAAATCAGGGAGAAAAGAGATGCAAGCATTAAGCACCTGTGGCCCAGATAAGTGCTCTGATTGTTTGATATTTTCTCTGATTGGTGATATTTTCTCCACATGAAAGTCTTCCTTTGCATCAGATTGAGAAGTCTTGCCCTCTAATAGAAGGAATTTCATATTTGATGCATCAGCTTTTTCTCACTTAACATTTTATTGAGCAATTATTAATCCTTAATGCCTAAATATTCCTCCATTTCTCTAACTCAATTACATGTTTATCTCCCAACTCTGCCAGTCTGACATCTATTTGTGCCTGTTTGCATCAGAGCAGCCCTAGTGAAGTCAGGGGGAATACTCCTTGGTCTAAAATTATTCATGATTTACACTGCGTGTAGAGCTTGCAGTAAGGAAACAATAAACAATACAGATAAGATGTATTATTCTAAACTTTGTATGTGTGCATAATTTAGAAGGGTAAATTTTTTGTTAAATATAAATGAATGATGAATAAAGCCCTTAGAGGAATTAATTTTTGAATATGTTCTCCTTTTGTTCCTTCATGCATCATGCTTCCTTGTAGCAGATGAAATTAAAAAGTATTGGTAACCAGATGATAGAGAAATTAGGAAGCACTGTTTCATTTGAGACAATAGGAGCTGTCTGTATGGGTAATATAAATCACTGGAAGATTTTTGCTCTGAAACTGCTTTTGGAATCTGCATAGGACATTCTTAACATCTCATAGCCTTGCCTCAGCTGCTGTGTGTGATGCTGTTGGCTGCTGCCACTGGCTGATAGTTTTAAATTATTATCTCACCCATGCATCAGGTATATGTCTGAGCACCTTGCTGAACCAAGGACCTGAGCAGACTTGCTCTTTAAAGACAGGATACTTCTAGAAATCCATGTTCCCTCAATATTAATAGTCTATCTGCAAATGACTGAGATATGAGTATTCCTTCCACAGTGGAGGAGATGGAGGAAACTTCCTTTGCTTTTATCACTGGCCCCTGGACAATATTTAAATCGCAATGAGCTGAAACAGAAGTTCTCTCACAGCTCCTTCCTTACTGATTCTTCTCTCTCATATCTACAGCCAGCACAGAAGGCTTGAGGAGAAATAGAAGAGAATGTTTAATACCCAGTCTTCTAAAAATGATGGACAAAGAGAATTACATAGTCCCTGGTGACATCATTAGCAGGTGTCTGACAGAACATCTCAGAATCAAACGAAACTCGTTTAAAATTATCAAACAATAATTTTAATTGTTCTCTCAGGATGGACTTTGTAATTCTGACACAAAAATTTTGCACATGGATATTTAGCTTTTATAAAGAAAGAGTACATTTTTCTTTCTTTGAAATGCATTCATTATGAAACTGCTTCTAAAAATGCTTTTAATGATCCCCTTAAAAATTGCTTTCAGCTTTTGCCTTCTGTGATATTGGAAACTGAAAGTATTTTCCTTAAGTGCTTTTTAAATTTTATTTTGGAATATAGCTCAAGGTTATATCTGGGTTTTTGGGTGTTTTTTAAATAACTTTTTATTTGACTGAGAAAAATTTCTGTTCATTGAAATAGAGCTTATTATCTCAGTGCTTTTGCAAACTGTAAGTCCCTATTATTTTGGGAAATTGCCACCAGGAGACTGAAGGGATTCAGTTCAGGTTTCTGGAGATCATATGTTTGGAAAATTAATCTAGTACTATCTATGCACTTTGTATGAAATATGTGACAGTGTCTCTCATAAACAGAGCTAATCTTGCTAATTCATATGGTCCATATGATATACCTTATTTTTTCAGGTCTGCATCTCTAGTTTCACATTCTTGTGCAATATCAATGTGTGAACATATCTGGGCTTGTGTGTTTTGTGATTCTGCTGTTATTAACTGAAACCATATGAAATAAGCCCTTTTGAAGAAGGGCAAGGAGTCTGCTTCAGGATTTGCTGGCTTTTATTAGATCCAAGATGAATCATAAATTTTCTGTTCTCTAGTCAGAGGAGTGTAATTTTAGGCTTAAGTTCCTGGTGCAAATGTGTAATATTAGTTTTTCTTCAGTAATGTTCTTTTTAAAGCCATTCTTTTGATGATGTTCTCAGTGTTTAGCGCTTTAAGTCAGAAGTGTATTTCTGTGTGTGGCGTGTGCAAAGGAGCAATGGAATGGAAGGTAGACCTGTGAAAAAGGGGAAAAGGTCTACTTAGGACATTTGCCAGTATTCTTGCAGCATGTCTCCTGCTGGTTTTAATCCATCTTTAATGAAAAGAAACACTGCTGATGAAAAAACGGGAGGGGCTAAGTAGATTCAAAGAATCAATTCATGAGGCCTCCAGCCTCTCAAAGTCAATTCTCTGAATTTAGATTCTCTGAAGAACAGACTTTCCAAATCCCAAAGTTGCTCTGAAGGGTAATTTATGAAAAATCAATTTAATGAATATTTTTTAAGACAGCTTCTGTCTACGTATGC